TTTTTTTTTTTTTTTTGAAAAAGCGGCTGTTTTATTGACTTAAGTAGAAATATGATTTGGTATCAACCTTGTTATAAGAGACCAAAATGTGAGCCAGGCAGCGTTCAGTTTCACCTTGTTCTTTTGTCAGCTCTGGATTAACCTTTGCTCTGGTTTAGGATGTAAAGGTAGCATTGCTAATACAGAAACCTCAATAGTGACTGAAAATTGTACAATTTGTACAGTGCAGTAAAGCCAGTGTAACATGTTCCATGTGTTCCTGTTCCTGACAGTTCTCAGATAATGAATGCCACAAAAATGATCACATATTTAAACTTGTGTGACATTATTATATAAGTGGCAGATGGTAGTGGTAATTTAATCAGGAGAGACTACATTTTAAAAGCATTGCTTGATTACACTTGAAGGAATCGCTTGTGGCAAAAAGACAAAGCAACAACTAGACTGACAACATTTAGCTGATGTAAATCTTACTGGATGGTTGAAACAGGGGGTAAACTAGTTTTCTAAGATATCGGCAAACATTTGGTTAGAATAAACTAAGGAACCGTGACTGAATCTAAACAGAGTGATGGATATCTTAGATGTCAGGACTAGGTTTTAGTTTATAGTTTTTTATAAATTATAGTGTTACGCTGGAAGGATTATTACATTTTCTTAGCTTCTTCTGTCTGTTTGAAACATCATATCCACCCTGTTGATGCCAACTGTTATACTTTATGTAAGAATATTATTTTCTTTTAATATACATGACTGTGTTTTTATTGTATTCAGGATTGCCTTTGCAAAAAACACACTCTGGGGATGCTGAGGCTCCTGTGGCTGGTTTATTATAAAACCTGATGTTGCCTGTGCAACACCTGAGTTTATGTACTGTCGTAGCAACAGTTAAACAAAGAATGCAACATGAATCTATAGTAGCAGCATTCACCACACCACATAAATTATTGACAATTTATTACAGCTTTGCGAGGCAGTAATCAACAGGTTAATCACTTTGCTGCAGTTGAGCTTAAATTTTCACTGGATGTTGCATAAAAAATACAGTTGAATTTGGAAGATCTGACACTATACAAGCACTACACTAGCCAGAATGGCACTCAAGAGAGAACAACAGATTCAGAGACAAACAATATCATTAAATATGTATGTTTGTCTTCTCTACTAAAATAGTGTATTTGACCAAATGGGTTGTTCACATAGCAATTGAAACACAAAGACGATGGCTATTCAAGCAAAACAATGCAGCCCTTTGAGAGTATATGATCACTGGGAAGAATAGTGTATTCCTCACGTATTACTTTTACTGCAGCACTGAAATATAGTTTAAGTGCTTGAGAAAGCTGCACACGTGCGGACACAAAAGATTTTAGTTTTCTAAAATCTTCTTTCGTTTAACTTGTAAGAGTTCTTTTTTCTGTGTTTTATTTTGATGCCCAACATTAATTAAGTCTGGAAATAAAAACGGCTTTCAGAGAAACAGGGTTTTCTTTTAAAGGCCCCCTCCATTTTTCTCTCCACCCATCTTTAGATAGTTTGTGAGTGACTTGAAAAGTGAGATGCATCAGCAGGCAGGGGGTAGAAAACAAAATGCTGAGAGCTTATAAGAAGCATGTGGAGATGTTTTGTGTCTTAAGCAGAATGAATCAAAATGGGTGAAAATATTTGTGATCAGAAGGACCTGAATCACAGTTAGCTGTTAGGTGCACTAATCAAGGTTTTTGTTATCATGATTATTTTTGTTAAGTTATCATGAAACATTAAAAATGTAAAGTAATACAGAGCAGACTGTTACTTTTTAGGCTCTGTGATAAATTATTTGTAGGTAGTTACTGGTGGAATTTTGCCAATTGTGCCTAATATGGATATTTTTACACTACACTGAATATCTGAAATTAATGAAGTGCCTTTGAAAAAACTTGCAAAAGACTTGCACTTCTGCAAGACTTGTATTGATTGAAAAAATAATTTAGAAAAGTTGAATGTTTCAGAAAGGGCAGAATTCTATTGCATAGGTAGCATGCAGCAAAACATTTGTGCATTATTATGGTAAAAGGCACAAAAAATCTGATTAATAGACATGACAGCGATCTCAGGCTAATGTAAATATAATGGACAAAGCTTTAGAATCAAAGTTCATTCCTAGTTTTCATGTTGATATATTTTTTTTCTACATATCAATTAGATATACAATTTTTCCCTATGAATCTTCCTCTTTTCATTCAATAATTTGACATCCCCCCAACCAGTGGCAGCAGATGGTGCCCTTTTCCTGAGACTAGGCCAGAGGTTTCTTCCTGTTAGAAGGTAGTTTTTCCTTTCCACCGTTGCCAAATGCTTGCTCATAGAGGATTGTTGGAATTTTCTCTGTATTATTGTAGGGTCTTTATCTTACATAATAATGCACCTTGAGGCGTTGTGATTTGGCACTATATAAATAAAACTGAATTGAATTGGACTGAATCAAAGCAATGACGTACTTCTTGCTGATCACCATTGTTTATCTTCAGAGACATTGTCACCATTGTTCAGTTTTACCTTGAGATCGTGTGCAAAGTGTGTAGCAGTGTGAAGTGTGTAGCAGAGATGCAAAGAAAAATGAAAAGGTGGCTGATGACAGCAATGTGTGTAAATACTGTCATGTCTAGTGACAAGTGCAGCCATGTTTAGAAAAAAGAGAAGAATGGCTCATGTTTTACAAAAGAACAATATATTTACATACCTTCTATATATAAACCTGTTCTAGCGTCACATGCACCAAGACCTAGATGAACAATAAGTTTGCACCTGCACTGTGTGGTTACCATGGTTACAAAAAGTCTCACAATATGGCCATCTATTTATTGCTGAAAAAAATAAAACAAACCAAAAAGATCTAAGATTAAAAAAAGCAAAATGTTTCTTTGTATCTATATTTATAGTATATTGCCGAGAATTTGTGTGTATTCTTTCACACGCATATGAACTTGAGCAATATCCTATTCTTAATCCCTTGAAGTTTATTAGGATGTTGGCCCACCTTTTGCAGCTATATCACCTTCAACACGTCTGGGAAGGCTTTTCGGAAGCGTAGTTGAGAGGCCATGCTGATGTTGGACAAAAAGTCCTGGCTCATAGTCTCTGCTCCAATTCATCCCAAAAGTGTTCTGTTGGGTTGAGTTCAGGACTTTGTGCAGGCCAGTCAAGTTCTTCATCACCAAACTTGCTCATCCATGTCTTTATGGACCTTGCTTTGTGCACTGGTGCACAGTCATGTTGGAACAAAAGGGGCAATCTCCAAACTGTTTATCACAAAGTTGGGAGCATGAAATTGCTATGCTGAAGCATTAAGAATTTCTTTCACTAAAACTAAGGGGCCAAGTCCAACTCCTGAAAAATTGCTGCTGCACAGGTGGCATCCTATCATACCACGCTAGAATTCACTGAGGTCCTGAGTGCAACCCCTTCTTTAACAAAAGCTGTGTGTATCTGTATGTCTAGGTGCTTGATTTGAATCAGCATGGAAGTAACTGGAACACCTGGATTCAATGATTTGGATGATTTATTCTCATAATAAGAAAACCCTACTTATTGTGTTACAATAAAAAAAAACTATTTCTAATAAAATCATATTAAATTAAATGATACTGACAACTAATTAGGAAAAACAAGCTCTTTTTACGGAGATGTAACAAACATGGAAGTACAGTAAACAGCTACTGGATCTAAGAAACCGCAGACAATGACGTTATCATATTTTCAAACTGTAAAACACAGTATGAAACAATCAGCTTGTGATTTAAAGTCATCTAAAGCCAAAAGACCTTTTAATGATTTAAATCTAATAATACAACAAGTCTCAAACAAAGTGGCCTGTTATTTCTGTTAATGAGAAGGCCCGATCAATATGATGAATTGTTTATTTTTATATGGACATAAACACATAATAACCACCGACTTGAATGAAGCCCTTTATCATGCTGTGGCATTCATAGCCTGAGGCAAATTTGCAGCACCTCTCCCAACTTAATTGCAAACTGATGCTTAAATGCTAACACCATGAATTTTTCAGCAACTATTAATGAGCAAGAGCTTAGGGAAGGCTTGGATTGCTGTTGAATTATAAACCTTTATGAGTGTGGCTGTGAAGGATAACGTTATATATTACGTAGTGTATACAAATGATTTACCTTTTCCTCAGCCACGATCTGATTCCAGAACCAGAAGGGGAAATATTTTTTTTTCTTATGGAGTCTCTGTTGTGTCTCTCTTAAAAGATTGATTGTGCCATGCAGCTCAGTCACAGAGTGATGGCTTATTATTTTTGTCCAGACAGGTAGAAGTGGAAACTTTCCAAAATTTGACATTTTTTTCCTAAACTGTTTTGGAACAGGAGTTTGTTATTTATATATAACTTGAATAATATAGATTGCCAGACATTTAAAAGCAGCCACAGATTTAAAATTGGCTCAACATATCAATCATTACAAATGCAAAATCTGGAAAGTTTAGAGCAGCACTGAGCTGTGTACTCCCTGTTAATCCTTTAAAACCCGACAAATTCAGGGAATTTGGAAAACTAATGCCATGCTTGACCGCTCTGATACGCCTATGCTGCTTTAGCGTGTGTAGTGAACAGAGCCGATTTTGACATCTAAATCACTGTTTGTCAGCACATGTGTTGGAAGAAAATCAGTTGTAATGCACGGCTACAACAAACTGTTGGAAAACATCCTCCAGGGGAGATCACTTGTGAGCATTGGCTGTGCTGTGTAGGACATAATTATTTTATTTGAGAATGTAGCAGACAATAATCATTATCAAAATGAATGATGGAAAAGACAAACTAATTGAGGGTGTTAAGTGTCCTCAAACCAAATGAGGTATGACTAAATGCATCCTTGGAAATATGAAGCCGCATTAGGTTTTGGAAAACAAACAGTCACTACATTCTTTACCAAACACTGCAGAACACAGAGGCATATGGTTTCATGCCAGATTCATAAAAACAGCAATCAGCAGAATACAGAGTGCCAAGGAACAACCCCATGATTTCTAAATTCTCTGGGAATCCTAAATAAGCTGTGTGCTGTGTTTGCCTGTCCTTTTCATTACACCGTGATGTGCTGTCTGTTATGTTTCAAACGAGCAGTGAAGTCAGTCACGCACAGGAAACAGAGATGAAAATAATATCACTTTTTTTTTTTTTTTTACAAGGTTGATGTCAAACATCTAAGATAATCCTGAGATCCACTGAGTAATATACTCTTTTCCTCCACATTTCCATTCTGCAAAATAGTGGTCTCTTTATGTGTTGTATTAGTTTTATTTCTTAGTGACAAGGAAAGACTGTAAAAATAGACACAGTGATCAAAGGCACATCTGTGACTGGTGAGAAGAAAAAGAATTCATCAGCAGTCGGAGAAAGTGGGTCTGCAGCGCACGTCTGTCTAAAAGCAAAGTAGAAACTGTGGATCCGCTCCTCACACATCTCCTCTGAGAGCCAGGTGCTCAAAATCACCTGAGGTCACCAACTGTCCTCCCACGTGGGCATCCATGCCCTCTGCAGGCACTATCAATGTTTAAAAGCTTTATAAGCGTGGAGAGACTAAGAGGCAGAGAGGAGGTTTGTCATATGAAGTAAAAGCAAGAGAGAAACACTATTAGAGAGAGGATCATGGAAAGAAAAGCTGGGTTTGGGGAATAGAAATCTGGATAGGAAAAAAAGATGGTGCTCTTTGCTTACTGTTCCGCCTCTATCGCTAAAACGTCTTTTTTTTTAAAGCCAGTGTTATTCATTTTGGACAGTTTGTATCTCAAAAGTCAGCTACTTCACATAGCTACGAAAGCAGACAGCAGCCCAAGTATGAAAAATTGATGGGAAACAAAAGACAGCACTTCCCAAATGCCAATTAAATCTGTGTTACTGTACCCAGGATACACACACATAAATAACACAAAGTGTCTGCTTAACACTGGACAATAAGGGCTAATTTTATTTAAACATCAATCTAGCCCAAAGGAGCAGTGCCTCACAGTGTACAACTGATATAATTAAATACTCTGTCACAACATATGCAGCAGGTTTAATTATTCCCCAGAGCTGTAGATAAAGAGAGGACTGCTTTTTTTGGTGATGTAGCACTTTTTTTGATGATGCTTTACTTTGGTCACGGGCCCAGTCACTAGGTAACACAGTACTGTGTTATGTGTGTGCTTCTTGCAGAGACTCACTTTTAGCACTGCTCAGATCCAGAAACCTGTGGTGTAAATTACAACAACCAGAACCACCAGTTAGAATTTGCCTGGGTGGGAAAGCCATTATTCGAGATGTTACAAGTCATTACTAAGTGTGAAGATATTCTTGGTAGCAAGCAGCATGTGTGTGAATGCGTGCGTTTGATTTGGGAGACCAATATGGAGACATGCAATAAGAGGCTTGAAACTTTCTGCATGTTTTCTTTGACAGAGTCTGAACCACATATTTGCCTGACTTGATGTATGTGGTATTTAGTCTATAAAGCATATGTAATGTGTATCTTATACAGATGACAGAGCGTGATGATTAATGACAGAATGTTCGTATTCACTTCTTAAATTCACTCACTCAAACGGAATCCTAACAAGACATTTCTCTCTCTTATCTTTCCAAGATACATGAAATCTGTTTATTAGTTTGTTTGCAGACTCTTCCTTCGTAAGCACTCATTGAGCAACCAAACTGGTATGTAGGTAGGTATCATATTTTAGGCCCCTGAATGTTCTTATCTACCCTATATCTGCTATTATGATCTTATTGTGTTGCCTACCAACCACCAAAATTGAACAATGGTGATCCATTTGTAGATTTTGTACCACCCACCTAACAATGCACAAAAATTGAAGGCCAAATTATACTGTACCATGAGCATGGACTACTGATGTACCTTCATAATGGCAGTTTTACATTAGTTTCCTTTACTAATCCCTTACCATTCTCCTTTACTGTTTTGTGTATGCTATTTTCAACCATGGAAATATCACAATAGGTAGACTTTATTTTTATGTGATTTAATTTTATTTATTTATTTATTTTAAATTCAGTATACTTTACCTGAACTTTAATGACGGCAAATGCAGTTGATGGAGTTTTTCTTTAAATCCTACACACAATTTCTGTGCCACATTTAACTGACGCAGACCATTCCTTAAACTTTTGCATGAACAAAATAAAGTTCTTTGAACTCATTTCCATCACCTGCATTGCATACCAGCTCTCTACATATTGTATGACTAGTATGTAGTGTGCTCATATTCAGTTAACGTTAAATAGTGTGTCATCAAACACCGCCTCATTAACAGCAGCATCATTAGGATGAAGCCTTTAAGAGCAGTACTCAGCCATGTGACAACACTGTCAGAAATGTGAAGTGCGACTGCACTTAGTGAAAAATTTGCATCTCAAAACAACTCTTTTTTTTTTTCTAGTGGACAGGATGGATCGCTGACTCTTGCTGTGTTTTATGTACATTTCAAGTTGTCAGTGTTAGCCATGTCACATTCCTGAGCATAGCACCGTGAAAGCAACACACTGTGCTGTAAACGAGATGAGATGAGTCCTGTTGAGAGGTGGCTGCACAATCTGTCTCTTTTTGTGTGTCTCTGACCTTCTAATGATCGAGTCACGGGCCCAGGATAGCAACCTCGTCTAAAACTGCAACTCAAGCCAGAGTGAGGAAGGTGATATGAACGGTTAAGACTATGGCTCAGAGAGACTCATTTCATAGCGCCTTGCAAAGCTGATAAAGAAATCCCTTTGACATTAGGGAGGAAGCTGCCCTCCCATTTTAATTACCTGGCAAACTGCAAGGCAAACAGTATTACTTCAGCCTCCAGATTCTTTGATGGCATTTGTCATTTTAGAGAGATAGCAAAAATTGTCAAGTAGAGCTAACTCCTCTCTAAAGTGGGACATAGATTTAAAGCTAATCTGGGTGGGAATGGGAGTCTTGATAGATAAACACTGAACAGAACTGAGCAGACAAACAATTTTAGCTGCTGTTCAAATCACGTCTTAAAGTAAACAGCCTCGTCAAAGCACCAGAGATGCTCTTGAACTGTCTTTGTTCCCAAAAACTAGAACAGTGGTTTCACTTCAGATTAGGTGGGCAACCACACAGTAGAATATTGTTTTATTTATTTATTACAGTGGTTTTTCATTTGACATGGAACATTTTTACAGATGACTCAGAATGGCTGGAAGTATCAGCTGAATAAGACAAGGTTCTTTTTTAATAAAAATATTCTGCTCTCTTATTGTAAGAAATGCGCATGGGGTGAAAAGCCTCTAGAAACTGAGGTCTGCTCAAAACTGATCGAGGGAAAGGTAGTACTTAAGCTCATATGGTTATTTTGGTCATGATGGAGCTTCTCAAATGACATGGGCTCGAGTAATTATTTAGGTCAAACGTATCGAAGTGCATAGTGTAGTTATAGCACACCACTAGGGCTAGAGTTGGGAGGTGAAGTATGTAAAATACGTTACTTTTCCCACAACTTTTTAATCCCTTTATTTTAACAGAAAAGTCTACACTTTCTAATCACTTCTCACTTGTTCTTACATTTTCAAACCGGGTTCGTTACTTTAGGTTTAAGACAAGGGGAGGGTATTACTTCCCGTCATTGCATGCCTTCAAACATCAAACTGATTTGAACCTAAATGGATGGAATAATAAGTTGTAAGGAGCAAGCACATAGGTAGTAATTTGACAGGTAATTTCAAATTCAATGTTTCTAACAGCTTAAAAATTATCAGCTAACTGTCTCTGTGCAGTTTGTCACACAGTGTCTGCTAGCTAAAGGCGCAGTTGCTGTTTTTCCCTTGGAGAGAAAGAATGTGTGAGATAACTTCAGTCAGAGATGGAGAAAGATGTAAGAAAGGCAGGGCAGGAGAGGAAGAAGAGAGATTAGATTTAAATGTAAGAACTGCACAGTGATATTTGTTGAACTGGAAATTGAAAGCTTACAGGTAATGTCCTCATTTGTTCTAGAATTCTTTCAATCGAGTTTGAAAGTGATCCAAAAGTATTCTCCATGTGCAGTAAGGTTAAATGCACACATTTTGATCTGCTGCCGAGAAAAAGATTAAGAGCTCCCCCCTCCCATGCTACTTCTTACTAATGAAAACGTGGCAAAATATCAGTGCTCGGAAGAAAGCCAATTGTAGAAATTTTGCATTTAATATCAATGAAAGTAAGCCTAAGTAATGACCAAAACTAAAAGATATTTTAGTCAAAAGACTACAAATAAAACTAAATCACAATTTGCTCACAACAAAAATTATTGTCTCTAATTTCTAAGTGATTATTTTCCTCACACTGCACCGTTACAACCAACCTTGGTGTTACTATGCCTGCCGAATCCCACTGGTTATACTCGTCTTTCTGTTTAGCTATGGAAGCAAAGTTACCTTAGCTTTGGTGGCTTTACTTTTCTTTTCTATTATTATAGATTTATGTAGATCTTATAGATCTTTTCTATTCTTTTATCTATTCTTTTCAAGCTGGGTGAATTCTTTAGAATTGACATTAAGGTTGAAAAAAGTTGGAATTCTCTTGTATTCATGTATTATTTTATTATAATATGACACGAGGTTTAGTTAGCTTTGCAAAAAGAATAAAAAAGTTAATAGTAGTTTCAAATTGTTAGCAGAAATGTCATGTAAAGATCTACTTTATTTACTTTAATAATTAATACATACGTTTCAGAGCTTGTACTTTTTTACTTTTACTTCAGTAGCAAAGCTAAAATCAGTACTTTCACCAGAGCTTTTACCATTTTTTTTTAACACATGTTTCTGTACTTCTGCTTAAGTGACAAATGTGTGTACTTTTGCCACCTCTGCTAGTCCTCCAGGATGACAATCATGCGGCTGAGAAAAATGATACTCCATTCTCAGTGGAAGATCTTACTGCTTGCACAGTTAGCACCAAGTGTGTATCCTTTACTGTGGTTATTTTAGCGGTGCTGTATTTATGTAGACATTTAAAAAGGGTTTACAAGAGACAGATAAGATCACTTAATTACTTGCTTTTATAAAGAAGCATGTTTCAAATACTTATATGAATCAGCAATCACTGTGGCACATCCTTCAGAGAAATCGGGAGTTTAAATTAACAAAAACAAGGTGATGATGAATGACTCTGAAGGAGCATCCTATTTTTCTCCTTGATCAATCTTATCTTTTCTTCTTTCTGTGATATTTTCTGCACTCTGATCCTGTCCACTCGCCGTAAGTCTCACTTAAGATAGTGTCAGAGAAAGGGTATGCTGAGCACTTTAACACCCTCTCTTCTTGAGACACTCTTTCTCTCTCATCAAGTATCCAACTAGACACGGACAAGCGCACTTAGAGGTTATATTTGGCGATTACAGGATAACACCATGAGCACAATTCAAACACCACGAATTGGATGATGTGGTTGTGGTATTGAAGAGAAAAAAAAAGTCAAACGTAGTTTGTTTATTCATTTTGCAAAGCATGCTGTGTTTCATGACTTCCTCCCAAGCAGTGTTTCTACTGCGGTAAACAACACCCTCAAACTCTGACTAAACTGTGTGATTTTCAGAAAACTGAAACAAAATATGTCTCAGGAGAGATGAAAAAGAGAAGTGCGCTCACTTGATTTACTGCAGGGACTGCAAAAGAGAAAACTTGAAAGACACAGGTTTACTAGACTGAAGCAAGGCTTCCCCGGGCACACAGTAAATTATCCTTTTCACTTTGAAATTTAGAAGCAGAACTAGAACTAGGGAAAGCAGTCTTTGGGGCAAAGATGGACATCTGTTAAAGAGTGATATATTCATGGGGAATCATATGTTTTTGTATGTACTATGGGAATTCTTCAAATTGCCACTAACGTTCATTAAATTGTATTTAAATTTGTATTTTTTTATTAATACTGTTTGACAAAGTATCCTACTTGACCTTTATATATTTTATCCTAGGATAGTTTGCACCATTCAGGTGTATTGTTGCTGAAAGGATTTTGACTTACTGTGTTATGAGAGCTGAATGCCAAAAATATATACAACACTATATTTTCTCCTCAAAATACTTTAACATTTAAATTAAAATCACCGCTCCTAACGTAACATTTTTAAATTCTACATTTTACACAGATTGTGGTTTTCAGTATTCACCTGTTCACCTAAATGAAGAGGTATGAAAACAAGAAACTGACAATAAAGGAAAATTACGTAGTATCAGAGTCACTGGATAAATATGCAAATAGCTATCACATTTCAAACCAGTGCATTTAAAGATGCATACTAAAAAGGTGCATTCTATACTCAGGTGTTTCTGAAATGACGAATCATAAAAAGCACGATAAGAAAACAACAATAGACCAACTGTCTACCAATAACGCTTCTACTTTTCTCTCCTCTGTCAAGTGTTTTGCTGCATAAAAACAGAACAAACACAGAAGACAAAGGGTCGGGTTATTCTCACTTGTCAGACATGGTGTTTGACTGTGATGGGAATCACTGTTTGTTCCAAACAGCCACATTACTGTGTAAATATGGAGAATTGTCATAGCTCCAGCTAATGTGTCGTGTGCATAGGGTGATGTTTTGGGGTTTTTTTTGGCCAAAGCATTTTGACCAATCAGCAAGCACTGCACATCTGCATGCTAACACAGAGACAATACTAACATGCTTTCGTTAAGCCAGAGCTGCCAACTCCTGTGTTTTTGGTGTTAGACAACCGGCTCTCGTTCTCCTTAAAAAAGTCTCAGTGGACTTTCTTCATAAATAAGAGAGAAAGAGAAACATGGACACAAAACGCTTCCTCATTTACTTAGAATTACAATCCAAAATCGCGTGTCAATTAATAATTTGGTCCAGTTTGCATCACCAGTAAAGTCTTCCTGTGTTCCTGCATGTAATCAGGCTTTTGACAAAACATATTTATTCATTTAGCTTCAGCTGTTTGAAGGTTAAATTCCCCTGATAATAGATAAACACTGGTACCACCAATGTGTACATTTCCATGGTAACACAGCTGTAAATTTCCCATTTATACAAGTGACACATTGATCTGCTTTATTATAAATGTGATTTAAGTCTGCTAAACAAAAGAAATCTTGATGGCATACAGCTCTGACAGGTGAGGTGTAGCAGACAAATTTACAGTTTCCTGACTACAGTCAGATAATTTAGAGCTGCCATCCTCAGTTTGAGTCCTGTGCTCCATCACAGCTGTCAGAACAATTTCATTTAACTGTAAATTAAATTCCAAATCATTAACTCTGCAGAGTCAAAATATCTCCTTTTCTTTGTCTTATGTCAAGTTTATCATTTTCGGGTCTTTCTGGTTGCTTTCTTTAATCCGAAATTGTGCTACAAATGGCTGCCATTGTGTGATGGGGCGTGGTCTGCACCGTGAAGGGAGGGCGGACGCACCTGCACGGTTTGGGTGTGTTGTGGTGTGATGTGAAATCAATAAAATGGCTCTAAATGATGATCTTTGGTCCCGCCCTGTCTTATTCACACCACACTACAACACACCCAAACCCAGGTGCGTCCGCCCTCCCTGCACGGCACCGCAGACCACGCCCCACCACACATTGTTTACAGTATACGGCAGGCATCTGCATCATTATAATATACATTGCATATAATCCACATGATATACATTGGTACTATGTATATAAATCATTTGAGTTATCACTGTATTTTGGAACTTTGTAGACATGTACAACTTTATTGCAAAACATGCGTTAGTTGTCGAGATGTTTTACTCATGACCACTCTAAACCAATGTAGTGGCATTACTGAAGTCCTTCAAGGCAAGTGTTTGCCTAAGCAGCACCTGTCTTTGTAACACCTCTGGCCAATTATATCAAGACCTGTCAGTAGTTCCACTATGCATGGTTATGCATCAACACACCAACTTACTGATTGGACAATCCTGCTGTTATAAAGAATACAGTTAAGGACATATGTCTCTTTCTTATAATGTCTTCACTATAGAGAAATTCACTTTAACTGTGTACACAGCATCTGTCCAGGGGTGGCCCCGATTTTTACCACTGTGGCAGACCTGCCAACAGATTCCACGAGCAATGCTGCCGGTGTCGTTAAAAGTGTTGCAATGTTATTTTCTAGTGTTTTGACTGTGTTTGCACTGTGTTTTAGTTATGCCTTACAGTTACTCTCTTTAATGAGCAGTGTGTGCATATAATTATTCTAATTGATGAGATATTTTGACAAGATTTAATAGGATGCAATTCAATATAAATATTCAGGAAATGTAAATGTGCCTCCACAAACTAATTAAAAGACTGCAGTGGGTTATACAGGGTACAAATTGAGGTTCATTCCCCAGACTGTGAAAATGTGGTACATACAGATGAAGTGTGCTGAAGGGAAAATGAGCTTTCTTCTGACCAGAAACAAGAAAATTTCACAAATCTGTTGTGACGTATTCACCCATGTTCAGTATCATTGCAGTTAAGTCAAATTCAGTGAGGCTTAATGCTGATTCTGAATGCAGGTCTGCTTCTCTTATTGAAAGCATTCATGGTGGTTTGAGGCACTTGGTCAATGGAGGGAAAAGCAGAGGTTAATTTTTAACATCTCTTTATTTATTAATTTTCTGCCCGCACGGTCCCTTTGTGACGTCCATCTCAGTTTGAAAGGGGCTGTCGTGTGCACTGCCATAGGGAACCAGTCATGCAGTGTCATGTTAGAGTGCACTGAAAGATAAGAGTGGGTATGCGCGACACAATAAGATGCTCATACGTAAAATCTACACAGTGTAAAAAACTTGTTAAAAAAAAATCCAGTTGAACTCATTTAAATGATTCAGATGCCCAAATCATGAAAATAATGACGCTACATTTATTACACTATTATTAAATCATTTAGCATTTAAGGGCATATGCATTTTGATCAGTTTCCTTCCCAAATGTAAATGTGCTTGTTGGTAAATCCCTTTGAAAGACTGCATTAACTGAATGCATTTGATGGCATTAGAAGACATTCTGACAATAAAAATGTAGTAATTGTGGTCTTGGCACTTGTCACACAGTAATGGAACAATGATATAGATGTATGCAAACTGCCAGGATAATTACGAGGTACCACAATCACCGGTTTCACCTTACACTGTGATCCCCCCTTTATGATTATACTATCCTCCACTTATCACCTCTACATTGGCAGTTATCCCCAAGTTGGTAGAATCTGGCACATGAAAATGATCGTAGCATTTTAGTTCACAAAAAATTCATTGTTTGACATTTGGAAATAAGAAATGTTTGAGATTTTTGATACATCTTTATGCCTTTAGTAGGCATAAAGATGTATCAAAAATAGCTCACCGTGCTATTATGAAGCAATATATTAGACTGCGTATTGTGTAAGGCTGTAATGAATTGTCACAGAATACCAACTTGTGTACCTTCTTCAAAGGATGAGAACAAAAGACAAAGGCATAACAGAGTTGGTTGTCTCCGATATTGGATATTACACACCATGCCCACAGAATCGCTAATGAACTTCATCCAGTTTCATGCTAATGGTTATCAGGGTGAATTCATTCCCTCGGCCTTTGTGTGTAATTATTGATTTCCCCAAGAAAGGTGGGGTATATAAAGCCCAGTAAACAGCAGGTAATTAGTATTTCTGGACCTTTGGCAGGATAATGTCCTGTGTTGCTTCTATTTGTATGCATGAAGGTAGAGAATATAAGAATTCTTTTCACACACCAAGATAACTGGGAGCAGCCTCAAAAGCTGCCACCTGAAGGTTCATTTTATCTTCTCTCTCTAAAACGTGTTAACAATTACAATTTTCAATTGGACATTATTGATGTTTTCAATTAAAACCAAAAAGATTAATAATTTTCTAAGAACCAAAGTTTTCCAGGAGAATGGCTGAGGTGTTAGGTCTTGCATTATTCATTATTTTGCCTGAATATGAGAGGGAATACTATTTCTTCCTATTCAAAAAATGCCAACATTATTCTTACTGTCGTGATTTATTGGGAGAAATATCATCTGTGAATCCCACTCTCCCAGAGGAAAATCACTACAAATTAAGTATAATCTATAAGGGAGGCTTTTATGGTCTTTGCAGTGGCTCAGGGTGAGGACTCAGCAGGGGGTTGTGATATAAGTGCTACAAGCAGTTACTTAGGGTGATCAAAAAACTGAGAAAAAAAATATTGCCTCTTTCACACCCATTCAAGGCCATCGTTAAATGTCAACAAGCTGATATGATTGAAATAGCCTTGACATACATCCAAATATCTAGCTATTTAAATAAGTGAGATGTCCATTAGCATAAATGACTATATGCCCACTAATTCTTAGAAATCATAGAAAAAAAAACATGTTTATCTTGTGCTTTTCCTCATACTGTACTGATAAAAGTAATTATTATATTAATTATTGGTTATTATCTAAGTTGGTTCATAATTATCTTAATTGATTTTATCTGCTACCTCTCTGAAAATAAAGATAAAGTTGTCAAAATAATCTTCCTTTAAATATGCCAAACCCCAAAAGACAGTTTATAGAAAACAAATGCATCCAGCAAAGCTTATGAAATGACTTAAATAACTAAAAATGACCGAAATCAATAAGAAAATATATGAATTAATTAATCTTCTAGGTAATGCTACGTAAGTAACTCCAGGTGTCACCCCTAGATCTGTGTGCATTATGCATTATCAAACAGCTGATCATTTGTGATGCAGATTTCTAGAACTCTAAGCAATATATGCTAAAAATAGGGTTCATCAAAAGTTTGCCCATAAGGCTTGAAAACCTTAAAAGACCTGAATACACAATACACATGGGAAGTACATCATGAACGTTGCCACTGGTTGTTTTGTGTAGCTGCCTGTTCTAAAAGGGTGGGTATGATGTAGGACCACCATTTGGAGAGATTTCAGCCCCGAGATGGTGCTTTTTGTTGCTCTGAAATTGTTTAAGAAGTACATTGTGCAAGTTATAGTGATTTGGCCAGTCACTCAATTCCGAAGGTCATCTCCTCATTAACTGTCCTTTTCTTTAGGGACAGAAGGAAAATAGTAACATTTTGTTTCATATCTTTTATGAAACAAGACTCCCAGTGCTCCAGTTCTTAACACTGATTACCAAACACTGCAGACAGAGTCCTGCACAACATCATGGCAATATGAGACTTTGATTATGTGTTTGTTGTTTAATTATAGTGGAAGTATTATCTGTATTTTTCATGCGGAAAGAACCTATGAACTGAAAACCATTTTAAATAGCACCTGTAATGCAGAGTGAAATAGCAAACTGATTTGTGCAGGCTGGTGAAGCATCACCTTTCCTGGCATGGTGCAGATGACCTGTGTTGAGCTTCGAGGATACAACAGAAATCCATGAAATGCAACACACTATTAATGGACATTTGTTGTGGATCACTCACTCTAAAATGTCAGCACACTCCCTTTTTTCTCCTTTCAGCATTAGAGCAAGGAAGCACATGGTGACTATCAGAAAGGACAATATTATCCACAATACATAGTGGATAATATTTGTGAAAACATAAATATTGTATGAACGTGTTTAAGTGTATATATTTGAAAAGTAAGAGATCAACTATGTTACTGAAGAAATTAATTCCAGTATTTATGTTATGCATTTATTTAGCTGTCCCTGAGCAATCTCAGCCCTGAGCTGAGATTGTGGAAACATTCTGCAGAGGTCACGTTGACATGATTGTTTCATGCAGTTGCTGCAGATTTGTCAGCAGCACATCCATGATGCCGATCTCCCGTTTCACCACTTCCCAAAGGTGCTCTACTGGATTGAGACCTGGTTACTGTGGAAGCCCTCTGAGTAAAGCAAACTCATTGTCAAGTTCAAACACAGTTTGAGATGATCTGAGCTTTGACATGGTCCATTATCCTGCTCGAATCCCCCAGTGGAAGATGAGTACACTGGTCATAAAGAGACATGGTCAGCAGCAATAGGCAGGCAGTGGCATTTAAACCATGCTCAGTGGGTACTGAGGGGCCCAAAGCATGCCAAGAAAATATCCTCCACACCATTACATCACCACCACCAACTTGAACAAGTGGTACAGGGCAAGATAGATCCATGCTTATGCTGTTTCTACCAAATTGTGACTCTACTGTCTGAATGATGCTGTAAATATTGGGAATTATCAGACCACGCAGCAGTTTTTCAATTTTCTATTCTACAATTTTGGCAAGCCTTTGGTTCCAATTTTAACCTCACTTTCCTGTTCTTAGCTGACGGGGTCTCCTGAGCTTTAACGTTCGATGTATTGTTGTTGAGATGCTCTTTTGCATAACTGTTTTGTAACAAGTGGTTATTTGAGTGCTGCCCTCCTATTAGCTCAAAGCTGCTCTACCGATTCTTCTCTCACGCCCAACAACAATACAGCACTTTCGCCCAGAGAACTGCCACTCAGTCCCTATGTGCTTTTTTCCAGACCATTCTGTATAAACCCTAGAGAATGTTGTATTGGAAAATTGCAGTATATTTGAAGTTTTTGAAATAATCAGACCAGCTTGTCTGACACTGACAAAGTCACTCAGCAGGTCATCTTGACCGTGTCTACGTGCCTAAATGTTGAATTGGTTCCTAAAAGCTAAACATTGTGGTGACTTGTTATTATTCAACATAAAAATCAAAGAAAAAGTTTAGGTGATTGCAATTATATTCTAGCAATACTGCATTTTAAGGGTATTCCAATGTGGCAGAGGAGAAAAAAAGCAGCATGAAAACAAATGTTTTTACTATTGGTTGTTACTTTTTCAAGTAACCAGCAGCTATGAGATGTTTGAATGTGTATTTGCTCAATGGGAACAAAATCGGGTGTAAATTTGATGGATTTAGTTTTATAGACTTGCTCTCGGGTAGGTTCACAACAAACAACACCTGTGACAGCATATGTTGCCTCCGTCCTCCTGCAAGAATAAATCATTTGCCCCCCCTCCAAAAAGATACAATAATGCAAAATCACACTATTGTGTAGTTATACAGAATCTCTCTGCTCTGTGAAGCTTCATAAGATAGAGGATTTTTGTTTTCCTTTTTTATTTATTTACAAGGTCTTACCGAGAAAGCGCTTTAATAAAACCCCAAACCGAAGCTATAAAACTACGTAATGGTAAGTTAAAAAAAATAGAAAACCAAAACACGAGGTCTCTGTGAAGTAGCCTGCACCCATTCTGATAAAAGCTTCATATGAGTAAACTGCCAAACGTAAAAAAAATACTTCGTGTGGGAGCCCAAAAATCGACTCTGTGGCGTGTACCTGATGCCTTTGTCTAATGGCACTAGGTGTCTGAAAGTGAATAAACAAAAAGGAGGCAGCAACTAATTTAAACAACCTTTTCATTTATGCACATCTGCACTGTTACCGATGCAGTTAGTCCTGTGGCCTGGGATGGCTGCCATGACGGACAACCCACCTCTAGATGCGGCTGTCTCGCCATGACACCAGATGACCTGATCGATTACAGCTACTGTCAGTCTCCTTGAGAACTGCCAATATCGAATGTCTCGCCAAAATAAAGACATCAAGTGTTTCTCTGATCCTCTGCAAGTAGACTGCAAAGTTAACCCTACCTGATGCCTGAAATTGTAAATGCTCCAGGCTTCATCTTTCTTTTGAGTTTGAGCCTCATTTTTTCAAGATTAAAATCATCTTGATCTTGATGTTGCTTTTAGTGGAGCGAGTGAGAGATAACCTGGAAAAATAATGATCTATCCATAGAACATGACGAGGAAAAAAAAAACAACCTTGTCATCTACAAGCTGTATAGTAATTACTGCAATGGTGTTTTTTGTTTTTTTGCCTTGTACGTGTATTAGAAAAGGAAATGTAGAAGCCATTTCGATGTCCATTAAGAATGTTTCGTTTTATATAGGGGTGGAAAACATAAGTTAATTTGGTAGTGAGATGTAAACAAAGGATCAGGAGTATCAAGAAATACACCTCTCTGTCTTTAATTAATGCTGCCACACAGTGCACACTATAGCATCTCAGATTACAGAGAGCAAATTGCTATGTAATTGCTTGCTAAAAAAGTCAGACAATTACTGCTATACTTTCTTTTCTACAGTAACAGCTGCATAATCACATGTAAATGAGTTTGAGGGGCTGTTATCACGTACCTATGTGAATGGCATGCTAAAAATCACTAAGGGGCAATTTAAATCTGAAATAGCTTAGAAGACACATGTACAGGGAACGCTAAAAAAATGGATCCTAAATGCACCAAATTCTAGTTTATGATTGCACCACTGATCATCCTCCTTTCTAAATAATGAATATGTATTATTACCTCCGATTTGGTTTATTGGTTGGTTTAGTTCTCTGAAAGTCCTACTAAACGTTTTTTTGGGGTAATGTCTTACTAAAATTGCTTGCCTTGTTCCCGGTTTTCAGCAATATGTTTTTAGGAGAAGGGAGTCAAACTCATCCTTACAAATGCAGGAACACTTTTTTTCAGTTTCTCCACTGCTGTACCTCCTGGCAATCACTTATCAGTAGGCAAATCAGCTTAGTCATTGACCTCATGCCTCCTGGCACTCATTAGTGCAGCATGTGACAGTGATGGAGGGGTGGGCTTGCGCTAGAGTATGATGCTCACGCAGGGAATACATGGGTCACCACTAGTGGGTGGTCAGATTAGTGTGTACCACAGAGAGCTTTCTGGTGTGCTATGCCCGGGGCAAGCTTTTTCTTGTTTTGCCTCCCCTTGCCAAGACCCCTTTTTCTTTTTCAGTTATTCTATTCTTGTTGCCCTGGATATCAGAAGAGAAACTAAGAATTGGAGAGCAGCTACACTGAGTGATGTCATGTAGCTCAGGCAAGCACTCAAGGCATTATGGGCCCAATGTGCTGAGTGCACTGAAATGAGAGAGGATCAGCTGTGGCTTTCGAGCTTTTTCTAAAGCATCAATGGACGTGCACAGTGTGGCATCTTTAGTGAACCCCCCCTCCATGCAGAGCTGCTGTGCCAGTACATTTGTGGTGTGGTTCTGATTGGTTAAAAGTAGGTAAACACCGCCACAGTATACGTTTTGGTATATGGGGGAGGACACAACAACAGCTGTGACATAAAAAAAGAATCCGATACATCATATGTATTTTATCACTTTCTGATATTGCTGTATAGTACCTGTTGTGCTGGTGAATTGTCAATCACAGCTGTTCATATAGGAATACAAGGTAAGCTGTGATAAAATTCATGACTGCTTTACATATAATATAGTTTAACAATAAGAATACAGACCGAAGATTAAAAGCAATATCTCTCTTCATATTGAGACAGAAAGAATCCTCAGTTTTTCATGGGGAGTCACATGTTTTTAAGGGGGATTAAAAACTATTGCTGTTTACATAGGCAACCTCTTGTGGTAATGTGAGTAAGTGCAAGTTAAAGGTCTAAGTTTTGCAGAAAAACTGTGGTGATCTCATTAATGTAGGAACTGAAAAGCAGAGGAGAAGCTTGTAATAATTGGGGAATTGGCCTTTTAGAAGTGGTTAACCTTCAAAAGTGGTTATTATGACAAAATTAATTATCTTATCCTGAAAAAAATGAATTCTGTGGGCAAATGCATCGTAAACCATCATCAGAGTCCACAGATTTTTTTTATTTTACTAAATAATCCTGATTTTCACCAGGCATGTAGCCATATAGTTACTTTCTAAAATAAGCAGTTTGCTACTGTTAAGGTGATATCACATTCTCACTGTTCGGGCTGTTGCCACAAAACATGAAACAAAAAATAAAATCACTCAAGCATTTGTGGTTTGTTTGCTTCATATCTATTTCTTGGAGGAAAGCATTCCATACTACAGTTGTTTGTGGGCATGTGCATAGCTCATCTGGTGAAATGGCACAGAGGGAATCCTTGAAGTTTTCGAAGTTTTTGAGTTACTTTGATTTCGTGGCTGAAAAGGACAAGAACTGTCAGCAGCAAAGAGCTCCACTTCAGAATAGAAGAAGTACCTGAAAGCTAAGCTTTGCAGCTCTTCAATACTGGTCCTAAGGACCACTGAGAAAGAGAAATTATGCTGGTGCAAATACTAAAAAGCAATTATTAACTTTTTGTTTGGCTAAATGTATCATTTCAAGAGAAATTCACATGGTCCATAGTTACATAGAGTGGAGAAAAAAGGAAAAAAAAAAGGAAAAAAAGGACACCAATAGTCTATAAGGTTTCTCTCTTCAGCCTTTTTGATTCAAGTTATCACAGGGTGCACAAAGCATTGTGATGGAACTGCTTTATAAAGCAGCAAGTATAAAATAAAGTCAGTTAAACAAAATTTAACTCCTGCTAATCTTTTTATGTAAGATGCAGATACATTCAGTAGCAAACTCTCGGACCTCATAATTTCACCTGTTACAGACAATCTTCACCAGTGTAACCTGTATTATTACAGACATTTTATTTTGTAATAGATCTGAACATATAGAGCAAAGTAAATGAGGTAAGACTCAAAAGCACGAAACATCTTTCGAACATGCAAAAGTCCTTGTGTGCATCTCAGTAAGATAAATGCATGTAGACTGTGTCTTTTTCTGCCTGTAATGTCTTTTTTCTTGTGTGCAGCTATTGAGGCTTGAGATTACATGTACAGGCAGATGTATATGCCCATGTTCCATCATTTCATGAAAATGCCACATCTGTGAAATTGTCATCACCAGCGCGACGCCTATGTCGCACGTTTTTAACACCCGTGTCTCTACTGTCAGTGTGCATAGATTGTTGCTATGCATTTAAAGGTTTGATCAGATCTTAGCTGTCTTAAGTCAGCACTAGTGAGGTGTTTAGAGTAAGTTGCAAAATTTGACCCCTGCAGTCAGCACATTCAAAAAGGAATGTGCTGTATGCAACTGCATCATTTGCTCTGGACAAAAAGTCCAGAGCAAATGATATATATATAATATATTCTGTTTTTAAGGTTTTTAAGGTACAAGGAAACATGAAATTATCTCTAAGTGAAGTAACAAAACACAAATAGGTCACATACAATGAGTGATCCATTCACATTCGCTCAGTGTACTTTTTTTTTTTTTTTACGCAACAAAAGATGTATTTTAAGATCCACACATTTCCTCCTACCTTCCCACAGTTCCACCTGCACAGCAAATCCAGCATGTCCAAATTAACACTTTCGGATTTGATTTCAACACTATTAAAGTGTCTATATGGGTCCACACCAGAGAGTGTTAATTTAACTCTTTTTGGAGAGTTGGTACGTTAACTCTGATTTAGTGTTAAACACCAAATCTGTCTGGAGTTGATAATTTAACACTGGGTGTTAAGAGT